CCTTAAGCAACCACATTGCCCTCAGCTAGGGCAGCTCCTTCCTCACCTACTCACCATGGGCTCAAGGCAAACTTTTAGATAGCCGTTTTTGTGACAAGCTGTCAGTGAAGTGGTGCTGGAAACAGGGAATGCGCTGACGTGATCGACCTGACCCACGCTGCTGGGCGAGGTGTTGTCGGGTCCTTTCTGGCCACTGTGACCTCCTGTGACCCAACAGAACTGCCCCATCGTGTTTCCAAGGCTGTCATCTTTACAGATGTTTGCAATCACATGTCCCAGCGCTCTCCCAGCCAGCCTTTCGGGGAGCAGTGGAGCATGTCACTGTGAGGCCACCAAGGGCCCTGGGTAGTTTTATGCATCTGAACTTTTTCGGAGCATTTCCAAGAGCTCAGAGGAGTTTTTACGTCTTTAGGGGGGTCTTTGTTGTTGTTTTTTCATCCCAATTTTTCAAACTTTCAGTATGCATTTCTATTTCTAAGTGGGGTTTGGATTGGGTCTACTCTATATTGTTCACAACCAGGACTTGAAAAAAGAGAAGACTTAGATACATTAGAGACAGCTTAAAAGGAACAAACCATGTCAAGCAGTCCACAGGGGTACGCTGTCCCCAGGTGGCTGTGAGAGAATGGAACTGTTCCTGCTGCACGGGGCTTTCAGGGACTGATTTTCTGGAAGGAGATTGCCAAACTTTTCATCTGAGGTACCTCTAGGTGCACTTGAAGGACCCACTTTTTGGTTAGTAGCAAGCACAGTAAGTTTTTGGACCCCCTAGGGACACATACCTCCCCCTCACTCTTCTTTCTGTCAAGTTCAGTGCAACGCATCGTGATGCTATAGGATACAGTGTACCTGCCCCTGCAGCGTTCCCACAGCCTGCTGGCAGGCCCCGCCCATTGGAGTGCTCCGCCACAGCACCCTCAGCGGCTCTTAGGGACTCCGGGGACAGGGACAGCTCTTTGGAGGATCTTTTGACTTGTTTTACTGTTGATCATAAAGTGGTAAAGGAAAATAATCTGAATTTTTAAAACTTATTTTCTACTTTTTAAAAATCTCCAGCCCAATAACAGACAATTGTGTCTGCTTGACTTGTTTGGCTAGGTATTGGTACATATTTAAAATTTCTGGTAGGGTTGAACATTAATGTGTCCAACGACCAGCTCACATTTGACGATCGTTCGTGTAGTAAGAGGTTGGCACGCGGATGTTTTCAATTTTTGCATGGCTGACAAAACTTAAACTAAGAAAAGAAAGCCATTTCCAAGAGACCAAACGCATAAGGCACATCAAAGTCTCCAAGCATGCCCTGTGGCGCAGCAGTATTACCACTTCATTTTCCATCTGTTTGTTGTTTTCACCCAGTCGGGGTTTGACCTCATGATCGGCTGCTGCCTTCACCCATGATTTCCTGGGTCCTTCTCAGCCAAAGGGGATGAGTGAGAGGGACCTCCCTCCCGCAAGCCTGTTTCAACGGTGGAGAAGCAGACCAGGAACAGGGGGAGCGGAGGCTGTGGATGTGGCAAGGCCTCCATCACTGGCTCTCTTACAGTTCACCTGAGAGCCTATGACGACAGGATCCCAGCTGTCCCCTCTTTGTACCTCCCCTTACCCACGAGTCCCAGAAACTTCCCTAGGCCCTCCCTAGACGAATGTGTGTCACAACTCTGACGCAAACGTCTACCCTCGCGCTCTGTTTAATGGCCTCTCTTCTCTCTACCACCTCCTCAGCCTCCACTTCCATGCTGGGGCCTGGCTCTAGCCTCCTCAGCAAGCGCTCTCCACAGCCCTGCCTGGCTGGCCTCTCTCCAGCACCCAGTTCTAGGACAGGGGTCGGCAAACTTTTGAGATTGGAAAACCATTGCTGTCCCTCAGAACAATGAAAACTTTATTCAAGAGCCCTAAATAGATATTCACAAAGAAATGAAAGCACAATGATCTGAATCATGTCCTTTACATTTTTAAGAGAGGAAACTGTCATCGTTTCATTTTCAATTTTACTTCGGAGCCACACAGATGGACTGAAGGCGCTCTGGGCAGCTTGAGGGCCGCAGTTTGCCGACCCCTCTCTAGGTTACTGCTGTCTCCCTCTCTCCTGGTTCCCCTTTGCCTGCACACAGTCTAAGTGTCCCTCCTAAGCCACTCCTTCTCTGTCATCCCCAGGTGACACCGTCTGGGCCCACAGTCCCTTAACGCCCTGGTGAATACCCTGGGGCTGGGCATTCCTGCCATCTTTATCCCGAGCCCTGGCTGCTTGTGCCAGTGTGCTTAATACCTCAAGGGGTGAGGGACCCCAGCTTGGCTACTTTGCTCCCCTCCTTCAAAGGTCCTCAGAATAAAGCCTGGCCCCTCGGCCTGTGAGATGAAGCCCTTCATGAGTTGCCCCTGCACAGTCTTCCTCATCATTGTCCCCCTGCCATCGGGTCAATCCTGACTCGTAGGGACCCGCTAGGACAGAGTAGAACTGCCCCCGTGGGTTTCCCAGCGTGTAGGTCTTCACGGGAATAGAAAGCTTCCTCTTTCTCCTTAGAGCAGCTGGTGGTTTCAAACTGCTGACTTTGTGGCTAGCAGCCCAAAGCACAGGCCACTATGCCACCGGGGCTCCAGTCATTCCCAGTGTGCAGAATAATATTAAGTTTGCCCTCATTCTAAGGGAAGAAGGGTCGGTGCCCCCCCCCCCCCTGCTGTATTAGGAGGAGTGGACATAGGTCATATTTCAAGGGCACGTCACCATGTCACCTCTTCTGGAGAGCTTTGCCCCCTTGCAGGCTTTGGTAGCAGTCTCCCGTACTCCTCTCCCCTGAGCACAATGCATTCTAAGTTACCCTTGTGTGTCTCCCTCTCTCCTGAGACAGATGGGCCTATGCTTCTCCGCCTTTGGGTTCCCAGCACCCGGCCCAGCCAATGAGCTCAGGGCTAGGTCCCGACCCAGGGTGGAACGCCATCCAGCATACCTACAATGGTGAAGAGGCCGCAGGAGCAGGCAGTGCTGTGCCTAGGGTCACTATGGGCTGGAACCTATGTGTGGACAACAGAGGGAAGGAGGGGGTGAGGTGGGTTGGGGCAATGCAGACTCCAGGCCTGACCTGGTCTTTGGCACCCTCTAGAGGACAGTTTTTGTTCCCAGAGAGGGGCTTTAGGCAAACAAATTCTCCATTCCTATGCCAACAAGTGGGAGAACAACGGTGGTGGTGGGTGGATGGGTGGGTGTTACTCCCTTAAAGAGTTACCGTCTTGGAAACCCACAGGGGCATTTCGGCCCTGCCCTGTGAGTCGGCAGGCACTATGAGTTGGAAATCACCCGCTGCCTCATAGTGTGCAAACCAGCAACAGTTCCTCGACCCCCCACCCCTGTTCCCCACCTTAGCTAAGCACGAAGTCACCTGCACAAATTCCAAAATGCCCTCTCCTTCAAGGTCCAGTGAGACCCGGGCCCCCGGCCGGCCCCAGCAGTTATCTGGATACGGCACTTCCCGGGTGGGTCACTGAGCTCCTACCCTCTTGAGGGTAATTTCTACTCTGTGTCCTACTTTGACTCCTTCACAGAGCCTGCTGTACCCGAGGCCATTCCTGAAGCCAGTCCCCAGGTTTTCCTTCTCTCTCAGGTGGGACTGTCCAGAAGATCAGGTCCAGGCTTCTCCTTTCTTCCTCAGAACAGGGCCACCAGAGTGCCTTTGTTGTTGTCCGGCTCACAGCCACCCGTGTGCAACAAACGCAAACACTGCAGGTGCTGTGCAGACCCCACGGCCATTGTTGTGCTTGAGCTCACGGGTAGCCACGGTGCCATGGCATCTCATCGAGGACCCCTTCCTCCTTTCGCTGATCTGCTTTGCCCGGCATAATGGAGTCAGCCCCTAACAAATCACCACATGCCCGGCAGGAGCCATTGTACAGCGATAATAAGTAATGATGATAGTAAAGCCATAGAGAATAAGAAGAGAGAGGTAGAAGAGAGAGTGAAATAAAGGAGTCAGACATATTTTGTAGTAGCACGCTCACCTCAGCCCCGCCTGGTGGTCCATGTGGGGATGTGGAAGGTGGGAATTGCAGGAGTGAGCGAGAGTGATTTCTTACTAACCAAGGCTTATATATCTTTTGGGGACGTGCAAGCTCCCTAATTACAGGTAAAGACATACATCACAGGAAGGGGTTGCATGATAGGTAATACAGTAATGGGAGGGGGATGATCTAGGGGTGTATGCGCTATAGGAAGAGAAGGGATTAAGGGTACACCATGTGACAAGATGGGCTGATCCTAGATTCATGATGGCAGCCTAACCTTGATTTCCCTTGAGCTGGACACTTGATTTAGTCTAAGCTTTCAGAGGAAGCAATCCACTGCCCTTAACAGCAGGGAGTGAGCCCCACCTATGGTGAGATAAACAATAATGTCTGATTGCTCTGGATGGCTGAATGCCTACAGGGAGACTATCTCTAAACATCTGACCTCCCACCTTGTGCTGGCAAACAGCCTCTAATGTTTGGCATAGCTTTGAGGAAGACAAAGCTGGGAAACGTCTTTTTACATCCCACAGATCCTGCTGGTAGCATGTCCAAAGTAGGTGCAAGGGAGCCTCACCAGCTGTGCTTCCAAGGAACATTCTGGAAGTACTTCTCCCGAGACAGATGTTTGTTCCCCTGGCCTGCCGCGGCACATTCAACATGCCTTAGCAGCCCTGCAATGCAAGCGTGTCCGTTTTCCTTCCCTCTTCCTTTTTCACTGTTTGCCTTTCACACGCATATGAGGTGGTTGAAAGAACAAGGTCAAGTTCACCTGGCTTAGCCTTCAAAGTGACATCTTTGCTTTTTAACACTTTGATGAGATCTTTCCCAGGAAATGTGCCCAAGGAGATACTTGCATGTTCTCCACGGCTGGAAGATGAGCTGTGATCGTGGCTCAGAGTAAAAGGACACCTTTGACAATGGCAGTCCCTTCTCTGTTTATCTTGATGCTGCCTGCTGGTCCAGTCCTGAAGATTTGTTTTCCTTTTGTGGAGGTGTCACCCATGCTGCAGGCCTTTGATCATCATCAGTAAGTGCTTCAAGTCCTCTTCACCTTCTGCCGGCAAGGTGTGTCAGCTGCACGTCACAGGTCCTTCCTGAGCCTCCCTCCAATCAGGATGCTGAGTTCCCCATCGAGTGGAGCTTCTCAGACGATTTCCTCGGCATACAGATGGAATACAGTCAGTGAAAGGGACAACCGTGCTGCACACAGGGTTTTCGGATTTTAAACCACACAGTCCTCCCTTATTCTGTACAAATGACTGCCTCTTGGTCTATGGACGGGTTCTGCATGAGCACAATGAAATATTCAGGAATTCCCCCTTCTTCATATGTTGTTCCTATGTATCCTGATCCACACGGTTAACACTGCCTTTGCGTGGTCAATAAAACACAAGGAAAAAACCCACAAAAAACAAAAAACAACAAAAAAATAAAACACGAGGAAACAGTTTGTGGGAGATCATTTTAAAAATGGTTGCAGCAGGACATTGCCAGAAGTTCACACCAGATTCAGAAGAAGACGCCGAAAGAGGGGTCTCTGCTGGTATGAGCTGAGTCTTGTGGAAAGTAGAGACAACCAGAAAGATGTTGACTTGGGCTTTGTTTTTTCACTTGTGTTTTACTGACAAAGCAAAGGCTTTCCCCCAGCTGGGGGTTCAGGTGCATCCCGGAGTGGCTTCCTGAGGCTCAGGCTAAGTCCCCGGCGAGAGCTGGACCTCTGGCCTGGAGAAGCAGCCCTTCCTGCATAGCCATGTGGCCCTGGGCTCCCTTCCAGAGTGCTACCTCTGACCTCACAAGGGCTGCCTCAGAACTCGGCCTCAGAACTCTTGTCTCCGAGGCTGGCGGAAGGGAGGAAGGATGCTATTTTAGGCAGTATGTCTGGGCTTCGTTCAACCAGCACTGCCAAACCCCTGTCCCACTGACCTCTCCCCTGGAACAGCAGGAGCTGTGCTCAGGCCTTGGGAAGAGTTGAGAGATAAGTTCTGGTAACATAGGCACTGAGGGCCCAGTCTGAGCTTGGGACAGTCGTGGAAGAAGATCAAGGCCAACTTTAACAGAGCTACCCAAGGGCAGAAACTAAGGCAGAGTGAGTGGGGCTCCCGGCCGGGCTGGAATAGACGGCCTCTCTCCAGGCACCAGACAATGAGGAGGTAACTGCGGGGATGTCTTGGGAAGGAGTCCCCGCTGGTAGTTGGAGGCCTGGATTTTTGTTCAAGTTGCTATGTGAATAGGCATGCCACAGCTTCTTGTCTCGCTCTCTCTCTGGCCCTTCCGTGTAACCACGGGGCTGTTGTGAGACCCAGAGCCTGGGGGTCTATCATGGGCTGGGCTGTCAGCAGGGGGTGGAGGTGGGATGGTGGGATGGGGAGAGGACTGGGAGATGAGGACACTGTGGTTTGCTAGCATTCCTTCCCTGAAGGTCCCTCCGGACGAGCTGGGCTGGGCCTGCAAGGTTGGGGCTTGTGCTACAGCTAGAGGGAACATACAGGAAGAGGAGAGAGCGGGCCAGCTTCAGGCTGTCATTCAGAGAAGAAAATGAGAGTACCTGGGGGGATTCGTAGGAAGGTGGGGGCTTGGACGGAATGTTTTTTGTTTAACACTTTGGTGTGTATGTATTGGGTCTACGTGGATGTCTGTGTTTGTGTACTCAAGGAAGAGCCCCTAAAATGTCTCAGCTTTAAGGCAGCCGCAAGAGTGCTTGCGGTCAGACTGAAATCATATTTATCTGAACATGTGCGCGTGGAGCCACTGCAAGAAGGTTGGGCTGCAGGCTTGGAAATGTCAGGAGGACCCCCAATGGTCCAGGGGCCAGGGGTCCTGAGACCAGCCTGATTGGAGAGGGTGGGACTCAGGGGCCTCTTCCCATTGGTTGAGGCACATTCACGCCTCCCGCTGCCTCCCTGCTGGCTTGGCTTGGTTGAGAGCTTCACATTGGCAGGAGCTGCCCTGGTGGCTGATCCGCCCCCCGGAGGGGTTGGGGTCTGATGAGAATGTGGGACTAAGTTCTCTGTGCTCCAGCCCTCCCTAGTGACCTCTCTCTCTCTGGCTCCACAGTACGTCAAACCTAAAAGACCTCACATGCCTCCCCCAGGCAAGCAGTCTCAGGAAGCCTTCTCTCGCCTCCCATCCACACAGCCCAGGGATCTCTTGTTTGTCTTCCACCTCCCCAAAGCATAGCCAAGCACAGGCTGGGTCCGAGAATGAAGGGAGGCTCAGGAAGGCCTGGGTGAAGGTCAAGGGGCTGTTCTGTGCGTTCTGACGGCTTGAAGGTCAAGGGGCTGTTCAGTGCGTTCTGACGGCTTCCGTGTTGATGGTGTTTATCTGAGCGGAAACTCACTGCCTCTCATTCCCTCAGGCTCATCTCTCTTTTAGGTGAAACAAAAGTTGAAGTCCTTACAATGGTCATGGCCTTGCCTAGGAGTATCTGACTGCCTTATCTAAAAATCACAGGCCCCTAGCCCCTATGCTCCCTAATTCCACCTTCCCTTGCTTGATTTCACCCAGAGCGCTCCCCGGAGAACTTCTCATGTGGCAGCTGCTTTTTCCAGCTTACCTCGCCTGATGTTTCAATCAGGCGTTACCTTCCCTGCTCACTGGGCTTCTCTCTCTGGGGCCGATTGGGATTCCTTGTCTGGGCCCCCTAGAGCAACGGTTCTCAACCTGTGGGTCGAGAGCCCTTTGGGGGGGGTCGAAGGACCCTTTCACCGGGGTCGCCGCCTAAGACCATCGGAAATTAGAAATAAATATTTCATAATATATAATTACATATTGTTTTTGTGATTCATCACTATAATCATGTTCAAAATGAACATACATCCTGCCTCTCAGATATTTACATGACCATTCATCACAGTAGCAAAATTAGAGTGATGAAGTAGCAATGAAAATTGTTTTATGGTTGGGGGTCACCACCACAGGAGGGACTATATGAGTCCGTGTTTTACTTTCTCTATGTTTTCTCATTGAGCATCTACCCAAACCAAACTCACTGTCCTCCAGGTGCTGCTAACGCACAGGAGAGGGTAGAACTGCCCCTGTGAGTTTCCCAGAATGTAACTTTATAGGAGTGGAAAGATCTGTCTTTCTCTTGTGGATGGGGTGGTTTTGAACCACTGACCTTGCTGTCACCAGACCAACAGCATAAGCACTATGCCACCAGGGCTCTATGAAAGGGTCACGGCAACAGGAAGGTTGAGAACCACTGCTCTAGCTGGAGAAACCCCAGG